TGAGGGGGGTGGAGGGTGTCCTTTATCTTTTCAGAGATTAAAGTCTTCTTGGCTTTCCCTTTCATATAGTATTCATAATTCAATCCAAAGCATTTTATTCTCTGTGCGTCACAAGATTGTAAGAGAATCTTCAAAATGGGAAACTTAAGAAGTAAGGTATTAGCTAAAGATGTGCCACACTGTTCTAAATGCTTGTACGGTCATCAATTTAAAAGTCACAACAGCCCTATGAAGTAGGGACCACTCTTAGCCTCCCATTTTATAACTAAGATAACTTGTAAGGTTTTTTTTTCCAGTAAGGAAGAAGAGATGGGGGGGGCGGGGGGCGGCGGGAGAGGAGCGCCTCAAGGCCGTAGTGTGAACCTGGTCTCTGAATCACTAAGCAGCTCTGTTTCTTGAACTCTCAGCACTTTTTTCCGGTCTCGAGTAATTAATTATTAAGAACGGAGTCGATCAGCCCAGTGACTCTCTGGCCAGTTTCCTATTTGCTTGTTGGCAGAGATCTGCATCATCCCTCTTAAACAGACCCCATCTTCTCCGGAGCCAGCCCTTATACAGAGCACTAACTAGTTTGGGAAACCTTCGCCCTTGCCATCCATTTTGCAGGTGTGTGTAGGGGCAACGGCTGCTGGCGGGTCTGCAGACGCCCCCAAATCAACGTGTGGGCAAGCGTTCCGGGCCTCGCGGGGAACCGGGTGGCCCGTCCGGGTGTAGAACGCCGGGCGGGAAAGGGAAAGTCGCCTCTAAGGGAAGCCTGGGCGGTAACCGCAGCGCCGGGCCTCCGCAGGACCGCGCGAGGAGCAGCGCGCTGTTTCTTCTGAGTAAAACAAGAAGCAATACTTTGTGACGCGAAACACCCGGGTTCGAACTTGCTAGTTAGAAATCCTGTGCGGCTTTAAAATGCGAAGGGCTTGTACAGCGGAGGACGGAAACGAGAGAAATGTCGCTTTAGTCGGGTTAACTGGCTCCGAGACCGCGTGCGCCTCCGTTGGCTGGGGGGGGGCATGGGCGGCGGGGGGGGGGGGGAATGGGGGTTGGTAATGGGCGACGGGGGGAGGGGGTGATGGGCGACGGGAAGGGGCGGGGGGTGGTAATGGGCGGGGGTGGTAATGGGCGACGGGGAAGGGGCGGGGGGGGCGATGGGCGGCGGGGGGAGGGGCGGGGGCGCCAAGGGCGGCGGGGGAAGGGGCGGGGGCGCGAGGGCCGGCGGGGGGAGGGGCGGGGGCGCGATGGCCGGCGGGGGGAGGAGCGGGGGGCGCAATGGGCGGCGGGGGGGAGGGGCGGGGGCGCCTTGGGCGGCGGGGGGAGGGGAGGGGCGGGGGCGCCTTGGGCGGCGGGGGGAGGGAGCGGGAGGGCGATGGGCAGCGGGGGGAGGGGCGGGGGGGCGACGGGCAGCGGGGGGAGGGGCGGGGGAGCAGCGCCCGCAGCGGGGAGCGCCGGCGGGGCGGGGCGCGGAGCGACGCGGCGCGAGGGCAGCTGTGGGGCGGCCCGCGGCTCCCTCCCCCCGCCGCTCGGTCGTGCTCCCCTGGGGGAGCCGTGGAACCGAGACGGCAGAGGCCACGCGTGGGGCGACTCGTTTCGCAGCGAGTTGAGAGCGGAGGGCGCTCTCCTGGATTGAAAGTCGGTTGGACGAGTCGAGGGGCCGAGTCTGGGGGCCGCTTCCGCCAGCCCCGGAGGAGGGGAGAGGGGGGGAGAGGAGGGGCGGGCGGGTCACGAGAGGCTGGGGCGGGCCGCTGGCGCCCGACGCCGCGGAGGGAAGGAGGGAGGGAGCCGGGGGCCCGCGCTCGGGAGCAGCATGGAGCCCTTCGCCGACTGGCTGGCCTCGGCGGCAGCCCGGGGCCGCGCGGACGAGGTGCGGGCGCTGCTCGCGGCGGGGGCGCCGCCCGACGCGCCGAACCGCCTGGGTCGGAGCCCGCTTCAGGTGGGTGAGCGCGCCGGCGGCGGGAGGAGGCGGTGGCGGACGACTGTGCCGCACAGGGTTTGTAAGGGAGTCCACCAGGTCTGCGGTCGCTGGTCGGGGACGGGGAGACTCCCTGGTGAGGTCTCAGGTGGAGTCTGGAGCCCGGAGCTTCCAGTGTCCGTGTCCTGGGGGCAGAGGAAGCCGCGGGGCGGGGGGCGCGGGAGATGGGGAGGCACGTGCGGGGCAGAAGTCTGGTCTGAGATCTGGAGGGGGGAGGGAGCCTGTTCGTGCTAATATAGTCCGAGGTGTGTTCTCCATCTGATACACAGTTACGAACGTAAAGCAAGATTTTAAAGAAATGGAAGATTTGTTGGGCCCACTAGGCCGGAACTCATAGACCCCTGAAGGGAGCTGATCATCACCTTTGCTAGCGGCGATTGTACTGGAAACCTTCTGCTGTGTAAATTGAATAAATATGCATTGAAATTGTTCGGAAGCAACTGCACATTGTGTTTGTTTTTACTTTAACCGGGTATGGCACATCTGTGCTTGTGAGAATTTAGGGAATACAGACAGACATACATGAAGAAAAACAGTGTGATCTTGCCTGAGATAATGCCGGCCATTTAGCTACCATTTTGAGGGTACCTCCTATTATTTTTGTTATTTTTAACTTGCTATAGATTAACGCAGTTGAGAGAGTTTTCGATTCCTCACGGTTCAGAAATGTGGTTTCTTCCCTCCTGACTCCGGGTGGGGGTGGGGGTGGGGGTGCTGGGTATTTGCTGTTGTTGTTTGCCTTCACTAAATTCCTAAATCCAGGCTAACCCCCCCAAAAAAAAACCAAAAAACGCTATTTCTTCCTGTTCGTCACCACCCTAGTTTTATTCCCAGTGTTGACAATGATTTTGGATTCTGAAAAATAAAATGTATGTGAAACAAAGGCTCACTGCACAAATTCAAGCATAAGACAAAGGAAAGTAACTGCCTGCAATTGCAGATTCCACAAGTCATCTTCCTTTCCTGAAACAATGCTACATAGGATAAATTTTATATACCTTAACATACATATATAAAAATAAAAACAAAATGCCTTAAAACTTGAGATTATTTGGGATTTTAAGTGTGAAGAGATTTTGAGAGTAGAGAGGTGGTGTGATGGTAGAAGAAAACCATGAGTCCTTTAAAAAGATGCATGCATGATTTCTCATTTCTCTAAGATTTTGCTCAGAGACTGAGTGTGGCCTTGAAGTTTGGAATATGTTAGAAAAGACTTTGTTTAAATACAAAAAGAAAAAAGTTGGATAATTAGTTTTAACATTTTTTTAATAGGGAAAATAAGAACATAGAGAAAAGAGTGCATGGTTTTGGTTTAGAACCCTAACCAAACTTGTGTTTAATACAAAACTAATTAGTTTATAGAAAATTATAATTACTTTAAATATCTTATCAAATGGGGATCCCTGGGTGGCGCAGCGGTTTGGCGCCTGCCTTTGGCCCAGGGCGCGATCCTGGAGACCCGGGATCGAATCCCACATCGGGCTCCCGGTGCATGGAGCCTGCTTCCCCCTCTGCCTGTGTCTCTGCCTCTCTCTCTCTCTGTGACTATCATAAATAAATAAATAAAAATTTAAAAAAAATCTTATCAAATGGATTTAAGCACTCTACAAATATTCATTTAATCGGTTCTTTTTCTTTCAGCATTGGATTGCTATTTAGATTTAAGTATTTAAGTGTTAGGTTTCTTTCATACTTTAATACTGCAAAATATAATGAAAACTTTTATTTTTTTTTATAATGAAAACTTTTAAAATCAGTTAAGTGTATGTTACCTTACATGGGAAAAGAGGCTTCACAGATGGTCCTTGGCTTAGAGAAATAATTATTTACGTTTAATGCAGAATGTAATTAAAAATATTTCCTTTTTATACAGTCACTATAAGTCTAGCTAATATAATCAAATAATGGTTAGCCTAAAAGAAAATTATCTACCACTGCCATCTGCCATGTAACACTCAAATTGTAAGGTTGCTGTGATTGTAGATACTATTTAAAAATTCCTCTTTGGTAATGACTTTGTTTCAAAGACGATTTATCAAACAAATGAAGGGAGCACCTCCTGTTTAATGAACACTCAGAGTATATAAACTTGGGAAGTTTCTTAGTTTCCTATTTCTGCTGTAACAAATTACCACAACTTTTGTTTCTCAAACCAACATAAATTTATTATCTTATAGTTCTGGAGGTCGAAGTCTAAAATGGATCCACAGTGCTGCATTTCTTTTGGAAGTTCTAGGGGACAATCTGTTTCCAACTTCTAATGGCCATCAACATTCCTGTGCTCATGGTCCCTGCATCTTCTTCTCTCTGACCTCCATTCTTAGATCTTTCTTCTGTAACCTTCTCATAAGGGAATTTGTGATTACATTGGGCCCATCCTGATAATCCATGTTAATCTCTCTCAAAATCCTTAATTTAATCACATCTGGGAAGCCTCTCTTCCCATGTAAGGTATTATATTCACAGCTTTCAAGTGTTTTAGGTAGTACACATCTTCGGGGGCATTCTTCAGCTCATTATGGGAAGGAATTTGGGAGCTGGTTAGAGAACCCTCATTTTATACTTAGAGTGAATTTTAACATTCTGGTAGGCTAAGTATATTAAAAGTTTTTTAAGAATTAAAGATTTGTTGTTTTCACTTTCACTTTTTAACAATTATTATGTCCTGGGCTTGGATATACAACAGAAAACCATACAAAATCTCTGGGCCTTACATAATTTTGTATCAAAATGGGGGGGGGGGCTATAGGAGGTTAGGCTATAGTTCAAGCCAGTTAGTCTCTCACTCTTTTGCTATCGTCATGCCTCTGACAGACAATAGGGTGTGGCTGGAATTCCGCAAAAGTTTGGAGAATATAATGGAATTCAATGTGGACAGAAAAATGGAATGAGCAGAACTAAGGGAGGTGGTAACTGAAAGCAAATAGAATAAATAGACGCCCGTGGCTTGTACCGGCATGGGGTAGGGGCTTCACAAATAGGTTCTTTAAACTTGCCCCTGCCCCCTGTCCCCGTCCTGACCACTCTGCTCTCCCGGCAGGTCATGATGATGGGCAGCACCCGCGTGGCCCAGCTGCTGCTGCTCCACGGCGCCGACCCCAACTGTGCCGACCCCGCCACCCTCACCCGCCCTGTGCACGACGCGGCCCGGGAGGGCTTCCTGGACACGCTGGTGGTGCTGCACCGAGCCGGGGCGCGGCTGGACGTGCGCGATGCCTGGGGCCGCCTGCCCGTGGACCTGGCTGAGGAGCGGGGCCACAGCGCTGTCGCTGCGTACCTGCGCGCAGCCGCGGGGGGCACCGAAAGTGGTAGCCACGCCCGTACGGAAGGTGCGGAAGGTCACGCAGGTGAGGTGGCACGTCTGAGTTGGAACTCCGAGAGCTTCTGCAGCCCAGAGCACTCCTTTTTCAGAAGAGAAAGCTGATTCTAGGAGAGCAAGGTCTTGTGTCTCGCTGCAGCTCTCACACTGCCAACCTGTAGGACAACCCCACTGTCCCAATCGCGCTGCCTTGCTTGCGCTGCGGATAGGAAATAGCTTAGAGGGATTTCCACACGTTAAAGCCCATCTCATAAATCGTGCCCTTATTTCCCCCAAACACTCACCCTTCCCACAGCTCAGGACCTAGACTGTGGAATATTGACGACTCAAGAGGCTAGAGGTCTAGTGACCCCCTCTTCCTCCAGCTAGCTGGCAGCAGCATCCATTTAGCTCTCTTCAGTTTCCGTATTAGCGTATCTAAGTAGCAGGACCAACCCCATAAAAAGCCTTTGCGCGAGGCATCATCTGGCAGAAATCTGTCCTACCCACACCACTGCAAAATTTTACTAAACTCCACCTTCTGCTCTATCCCGAGTTGTTTTCCAGAGCTGCCCAAGGGAGAGAGACCTCTCCAACCCTGGCAGTCTGCACACGGGGATTTGCTGTACTCTCTGAGAAGCAGAGACCCTCTCTTAAGCTTTTTCTTCTCTGCGAGAGAGATCGCTGAGACGCTGAGACGGGGGGAGATGGCCGTGTGATTCTCCTCTCCTTCTCCTTCCACAACCACAAGGCCTTCTTCTCTTGGGACCCCATTCTCCACCTCCACTCCTGCCTTCCTGAAGTGTACCCACCTCACTGATCTTTTTCTGAAGGGAGAACCATTAGCTATATAAGAAATTAACACAAATATTTAAGGTAAACCATGGCTGAGAAGATACTGAGATCTATCCCATGTTGGCTCAGAATCGGGGCATTAGACCCTCTGCACCTCAGTTGGGCGTGAGCGAACAGAGCAAAGAGGCTCGCTCTGGGCCCTAGACCATTGAGGTAGCGAATTTTGTGCCTTGGACGTGAGAAGCTCGCCAAGATCTCCTTTAGCCTACCCAGCGAGCGCGCGCTCTCACCCCCAACTGAAGTTCGCCTCCAGACACAGCGCGGGGCGAGGGACCAATGGCAGGGCGGGTTGCGCCGAGCAAGAACTGGGAGGAGCTGAAGAGGCGGAAGGGTTAGAGGACAGAACTGGGCCACCCGCAAATAAGGTAACCCTTTATGAGCAAAACTAAGATTTGACCCAAGCACACAAGTCTACCCACGCCTTTCTTCCTACCTTCCCTTCCTCCTCTTCATCCTACTACGCCATTCAGCTCCACTTAAATGGGACTTAAAGTGAATGAGACAAAACAGGAGTCCTGCCCTCATCGAGCTTACATTCTGGGAAACACACTTTAAGCAATACACAATGTATTTTCACACAGTTAGTTTGTAAAAACCAATGTGATGGCTCAGAGTCAAGTCTGAATGGGAAGAGAGGCTCAGAGGGGTCAGAGAGCCCGACTGATGAAATTAACCACTGGGGGCGGAGACACTCTCCAGCGCAAAGACCCTAGCGGCCCCGGAGGACCGAAAGGCAGGCTGGAGCGCGCACACAGCCAGATCAGAGAGGAAGGCACAGAGGCCAGTTAAAGTTCCAGCCAGTAGTCAAAGAAAGGGTGTTAGGTCGAAACGTGGATTTGGTTTGAGAAACTTTAGGAAGACATTAGTGGGTTGGGGAGAGGGAGCCTGGAGAGAAAGACGACAGGACTGGAACCGAAGGTTCCTATCCTGCCCAGGCGCTCCTGAGCCTCAGGGGCCCCCTGCTTACGGTGTCGCCGAGTCGCTCCGCGCATCAGGTGCAAGAGATGCCTGCGGATACGCGAAGAGCCAGACGGTATTTTCGTGGCCGGCGCCCGGCGCCGCGTGGACCAACCCCCAGCACGCGTTATACACTGGGGCTTTCCTGCCGCAAGCCCGTGGGCGGCGTGGCGCGCCCTCCATGCCCCAGCCTCGCGGGCCCGAGCTCGGCGAGCCCGAGCAGCCCGCCGCGCGGTGGACGCGGTGCGCTGTTCGCGACGCTGGGGAGTAGGGCCGCGGGCAGGGTCCAGCCTGGAGGGGCAGACCCTGTGCTGACGGGTGGTGGATACTGAGAGGCCAGCGAAGCCTCACGCATAAGTGTTTGAATACCAGGTGGGAGACTAACGGGAGGAAGGCGGGATGGATCGCGGAGCCTTGACTTCGAGGTTCTAAGGTGTTTTTCTTTGTGCAGACAGCCCGGACTTCAAGAATCATTGAGCTCTAAAGACAGATCAAGTGGTTTTGATCTTCAATCAACAAAAATGAATTACCCCACCCAACCCAACTCTTCCCTGCATGCTTGCCTTAATCAAATACCACTTTTTAACACTGTAGACAGTGTTTAAAAAAAAATCAGCCTTCCCTTTCCCTTAAATTTCCATTTGTATTTCCATTTATATATTGGTATATAAAAGGTAAAAAAAAATAAACAGTTTCAGCCTTTTTATTTTTGGGTTAGAATTCTCTGAAGCAAGTCCATAGGCCCTGAAAACACATCTATGTGGGCACTTCCCCCTTCCTCTTTCCAGCCTTCAACACCCCGCAAGGCGCTGTTGTTATTACAGACATTTAGTGAACTAAGGATACGGAACTTAAATGGGTTACAAAGCCTTTCCTGTGTCCAACTGCCATCAAGTGGTAGTGCCAAGGCTCACCTTAAAAAAAAAAAAAAAAGGCGTGGTTACTCCTTTGTTCAGACAATATTTATTGAGCACCTATTAGGGCACCTTGTCATGAGAAAGGAGGGGAAAGGCATCAACTAATGAACATACAAACACATGACTAAAAATTTAAACATCAATTTCATTGACTGGAAGATAGTATTTTTTTCTAAAAGGTAAATGGATGCTGCAGTAAGAGTACATAGCATGGATATTAAGACATCTGGATTTCAGACGATAAACTGTCAAGAGCTGGATCTTTTAAGATGGATGAAATGGGGAAGAGAAACTCCAGGGAGACTTCAAATTACCAGACTCACATTTGGCCTTCCATTACTTATTTGGCTGTAGGAGATGAGCCTCTCAAGATTTGGGGTATTTTGCCCTAAGCTCCACAGAAATATATGACAGAGTGGTCCACAACCACAAAGCCAGCCTCTGCAGCCTGCTGGGGGGGGGGGTGTCTGACCGAAGCTGCCCCCACGATGCCCCACCCAGCGCTCTAGAACTCCCCCACAGTGGCTACACAGGGCTGTGAAGAACCTACTCACCACCACTCAAATCAAAAGCAACTCCAGCTTCTCTGCCACAGCAGGAGGAGGAACATGCGTGGCACTAACTTCCGTGGAGGCCCAGAGGCCATGCTGCCTCCTCTGCAGCAGGGAACCATACCTTCATGACTTGTTTTTTGAGGTGCAATTCACAGAAAATTAACAATTTTAAACTGTACAGTTTGGTGGCATTTAGTAAACTTACAATGTTGTGCATCACCATTTATCTAGTTCCAAAACATTTTGATCACCTCCAAATGAGACCCTATACCTACTAACCATACTCATTAAATCCTCCCTGTCCCCACGCCCTGGCCACCACTAATCTTTTGTCTCTATGGATTTACCTAGTCTGTACATTTCATATAATTGGAAGCATACAATATGTCGCCTTTTGCATCTGGCTTCTTTCATTTGGCGTATTTGCAGTTCATCCATGTTGTAGCATATACCACTACTTCATTCCTCTTAATGGCTGAATAGTATTCCATTATTTACTCTATATCATAATGAATATTTGGGTTGTTCCCGCATTTTAGCTATTGTGATGAGTGCTATATTCCGTTATGAGTATTTGTTTGATGGCTTGTTTTCAATTCTTTGGGGTATATACCTAGGAGTGAAATTGCTGGGTCATATAATAGTTCAATGTTTAACTTTTTCAAGAACTGTCAAACTGTTTTGCACAGTAGCTGCACCATCAAATATTCTCACAACAATATACAAGGGTTCCAGTATCTCCTTATCCTTTGTAACACTTGTTATGGGTGTTTGTTTTTTTTTTCAGAAGCCATCCCAGTGGGGTTTGATTTGCATTTCCTTAATGACTACAGATGTTGAATATCTTTTCATGTGTTTATTGGTTATTTGCATATTTTCTTAGGAGAAATGTTTATTCAAGTCCTTTGCCCATTTTTAAATTGAGTAGTTCTTGTCTATGGCCACACCACCCTGAACACGCCCAATGTCATCTGAGTTGTTTTCCTTTTTGTTGTTAAGTTGTAAGACTTCTTTGTATATTATAGATACTAGACCTTTATCAAATAAATGGTTTATAAACATTTTCTCTCATTCTGTATGTTATCATTTCACTTTCTTGATAGTGTCCTTTCATGCACAAAAAACTAATTTTTATGGAGTTTGTTTTTCCCTATAGTAGAAGGTAGAGCTCTAACTTCATTCTTTTTCATGTGGATATCCAATTGTCCTAGCACCATTTGTTAAAGAGGCTATTCTTTGCCAGTTGAATGATCTAGGAATCTTGTCAAAAACTAATTGACTATAGAGGTATTGGTTTGTTTCTCAACTCTCAATTCTCTTCCATGAAGATATGTTTATCTTTGTGCCGGTTCTATACTATTTTGATTACTGTAACTTTGTAGTATGTTTTCAAAATGGGAACTGTGAGTACCCTAACTTTGTTCTTCTTTTTCAAAATTATTTTAATCTGTTTTTTTTTTATAAAGTTTTATTTATTTATGATAGTCACACACAGAGAGAGAGAGAGAGGCAGAGACACAGGCAGAGGGAGAAGCAGGCTCCATGCACCGGGAGCCCGACGTGGGATTTGATCCCGGGTCTCCAGGATCGCGCCCTGGGTCAAAGGCAGGCGCCAAACCGCTGCGCCACCCAGGGATCCCTATTTTAATCTGTTTAAAGCTTGTATCTGGGGTTCCTTGCAATTGCATACACACTTATGGATCAGTTTTTACATTCTACCAAAAAAAAAAAAAAAAAAGGCCCTGGGACTTTCATGGGAACTGCATTGCATATGTAGATCATTTTGGGTCCTACTGCCTGCCACCATTTAATATTAAGCTTTCCAATTCATGAACACAGGATGTCTTTCCATTCATTTAGCCTTTAATTCCAGCAAAGTTTTGTGATTTTTAGTGTACAAATAATGCACATACTTATTCCTATTTTATTCTTTTTTGATGCTACTAAAAATCCAGCTGTTTTCTTTTTTTCTTTTATTTGGACTTTTTCTTGTTAGTGTATAGAAACACAACTGATTCTGGTCTATTAGTCTTTTATCTTGCAGCTTCACTAAAATTGCTTATTTTATTTTTAGTGGATTCTTCAGGATTTTCTATAAATATGATCATGTGATTATCTGCAAAGAAGGTTAGTTTTACTTATTCCTTTCCAATTTGGATGCCTCATCTATTTTTTCTTGCCTAATTTCTTAGGTTATGATTCAGGACAATGTAATCTGTACACTTTTGAACAGAAGAAACAAAAACAGGCATTCTTTTCTTGTGCCTGATATTAGTAAGAAACTTCCTAGTCTTTCACCACTGATTATCATATTCACTATGGAAAAAAAAAACAAACAAACAACAAACCCTTAACCAGATTGAAGAAGTTCTGTTCATTCCTACTTTGTTGATTTTTTTTTCTTTTCATGAAAGAGTGTTGGATTTTCTCAAATTCTTTTTCCGCATCAACATGATGGTATGTTTTTTTCTTCATTCTATTAATATGATATATTACATTGATTGACTTTTATATGTCAAACCCCTTGCATTCCTGGGATAAATTTCACTTGATCACAGTGTAATTATTTTAACATTCTGCTAGGTTTGGTTTGCAAAGATTTTGTTGAGGATATATATTTTTTTCATCTATATTCCAAAGGGGTATTGGCCTGTAATTTTCTTTTCTTGTAATGTCTTTGCCTGATATTGGTATCAGGGTAATGTTGGCCCAATTGAATGAGTCAGGAAGTGTTCATATTCTATTTCTTAGGAGAATTAGAGAAGGACTGGTGTTAATTGTTCTTTAAACATTTGATACAATTCACTACTGAAGCCATCTGCTCCTGGACTTTTGTCAGGAGGTTTTTTTTTTAATTTTTATTTATTTATGATAGTCACAGAGAGAGAGAGAGAGAGAGAGAGAGAGAGGCAGAGACACAGGCAGAGGGAGAAGCAGGCTCCATGCACCGGGAGCCCGACGTGGGATTCGATCCCGGGTCTCCAGGATGGCGCCCTGGGCCAAAGGCAGGCGCCAAACCGCTGCGCCACCCAGGGATCCCTGTCAGGAGGTTTTTGAGTAAGTTTTGGTAGTCAGTGTATTTCTATGGGATTTGTCTATTTTATTTAGGTTTGCTAGCATACATTGTTCATAGTTTTCTCTTATAATCCCTTGTATCCCTTTAAGGTTGCTAGTGCTGTGTTTAAGTCTTTTTCCTGATCAGGAAGTTCACTTGGTTGCTGTAAATCAGTGACTACTTACTTTCTAGAGTTCCCACAAGGTGAATTCTGACGCTCATCTTTTTGGTGTGTCTGTTTAGGGATGGGCTCTTGGAGCTTCCAACCCTGTTATTTGCACTGATGTCACTTCTATTTTTTGTTTTCTATCAGAGTAGAAAGGCCAGCTGTCTGATGCTCCAAGTTCCTTCCCCCCTACATCCCGCCTGACTGGGATCCAGTGCCCCACTCCTGGCCCTCCTGCCATCTGGGTAACTGTCCCCCACTATTTCTCTGAATATCTCTAGCTCTGACACTGGGCTACGTTCCTTCAAATGTTTTCCACCTTTTCCCCTCCTCCCCAGGCTCCTCTGGACTGCAGGAGCCCACTCCTTTTTACTCCAGTCTCTTGCGCACACGCGCGCGTACACACACACCCACTCTTCTGCTCCAGTCTCTTGCGCACACGCGCGCGTACACACACACACACACACACACACACACTTTTTTTGCTCCAGTCTCTTGCACACACGCGCGCGTACACACACACACACACTCTTCTGCTCCAGTCTCTTGCACATACGCGCGCGTACACACACACACACACACACACTTCTGCTCCAGTCTCTTGCGCACACGCGCGCGTACACACACACACACACACACACACACACTCTTTTGCTCCAGTCTCTTGCGCACACTTGCGCGTGTACACGCACACGCACACGCACAGTCACTCTCCTACCTTCGGCCAGCAGGCTCCGCTGTGGCTCGGGCGCCGCCGGAACCGCGCTGGCACCGGCTCCCAGGCCCCGGGGCCTCCACGCGGCCCTGCGCCGCCGGGAACCCGCGGCGGCTCCACGTGCGCGTCTCCCGCCGGCCGAGCGCGCGCACGCCCGTCCGCCCGCCCGC